TTAGCTTGGTAGAACGGTATAGAAGTCGAGTATGTGATGAAGGTATCACTACTTGCAAACTATAGGAGTTGATGGTTTAATCCATAAACAACTAGAGGAAAGAGCTAAAAGATTGACCAAGGGTGGGGTCGATCACCACGAGATAGTGTCTTGATAGCAAGCCAAGTATCATATTATAACAATGTAATCCTGTGGATTCTATGGGGCTAGAGACAAGGGCTAGCTAAATCGACCGTCCATTGGATGACTTGATCAAATATGGGAAAGGTTGAAGGCATGAGTTACCTCCTATGGATGAACAGGTTTATGAGCGGTGGCATTGTTTTTGTGCGGGAAAAATTGTACACTTTTTGCAAGATGATATTGATGAATTCAAATTGTCACGCTCTTAGTTATGAGCACGCTCATTATTGATGACCTTAATATAGAGTTGTCGAGAATGAAATGAACTAATATGGAAGATTGAACTCACCAGTACATGTTCATGATTATGCTTAGCATTTTCAATGCTCAGAATAGGTATTCACCTCATTTCAAATAAATGTATTTAGGCAAATCAACACGTTTACCTTATTAAAACTAGATGCATATTGATAGCTAACACTTTCTTTCGTAAGAGACAGTCCCATTTAGTGAACTTTAGTAGCGGCCAGTACTCTAGTCAAATCGACTTTGTCCTTACAAGAAGGAGGGATAAACGAACATGCGTGGACAATAAGGTGATACCTAGAGAATGTGTGGTCGCTCAACACAAGATGGTGGTGGCTGACTTACGCTTTCTAGTGCAAGCTCGTGGGAACAAACAAGCTAGGGTTGCTAGAACAAAGTGGTGGAAATTAGAAGGGGATGCATCAAAGGTATTTAAGGAAAAGGTCATTGAAGAGGGCCCTTGGAAGGATGAAGGCGATGCAAACAGCATGTGGGAGAAGATGGCAACATGCGTTCGGAAGGTTGCTTCAGAGGTGCTTGGAGTGACCAAAGGGAGCGGTGCGACTCGAAAGACACTTGGTGGTGGAATGAAGATGTGCAAAAGGCTATTAACGAAATGGAGTGCTATAAGCACTTGTATCATGATAGGTGTGCAGACAACATAGAGAAGTACAAGGTGGTAAAGAAGACTGCAAAACGAGCGGTGAGTGAGGTAAAGGAGCGGGCCTATGAGGACCTTTACCAATGTTTGAGTATGAAGAAATGAGAGAAGGACATTTATAGGATGGCTAGAGCTCGTGATAGGAAGACAAGGACTTCAACCAAGTCAAGTGCATAAAGGATGAGAGGGAGCAACTCTTGGTGAAGGAGGATGAGATCAGACATTGATGACAAGAGTATTTTGATAAATTGTTCAATTGTGAGAATGAGAACACCACTGTTTAGCTAGATGACTCATTTGATGACACTAATAGGCGCTTTATACAGAGAATTTAAGAATCGAAGGTCAGAGAAGCCTTGAAAATGATGAAAGGAGGCAAAGCGATGGGCCCTGATGGTATCCCAATAAAGGGGGTGGAGATGTCTTGGGGATATAGCTATAATATGGCTAACCAAGATGTTCAACAATATCTTTCGATCGAATAAGATGCCTAAGGAGTGGAGACGAAGCATATTGGTACCAATCTACAAGAACAAGGGAGATATCCAAAGTTGTACTAATTATCGGAGAATTAAGTTGATGAGCCACACTATGAAGTTATGGAGAGAGTCATCGAGCGGTGCCTGCGAGGAACGATGCAGATATCAACAAATCAATTTGGTTTCATGCCTAGAAGGTCAACCACATAAGCAATCTTCTTAATAAGACAAGTTATGAAGCGGTTTAGAGAGCAGAAGAAGGACCTCCACATGGTTTTCATTGACTTGGAGAAGCCTTATGACAAGATACCAAAAAATGTTATGTGGTGGGCTTTGGACAAATATAAAGTCCCATCAAAGTACGTGACCCTCATCAAGGACATGTACAACAATGTTGTGACTAGTGTTTGAACAAACGATGGTAACACAGATTACTTCCCGATTAAAATTAGACTTCATCAAGGGTCAACCTTAAGCCCGTATCTCTTTGCCTTGATAATTGATGAGGTTACCAGGAACATACAAGGGGATATCTCTTGGTGTATGTTGTTCACTGATGATGTAGTGTTAGTGGACGAAAGCCAGGCGGGAGTAAATAGGAAACTAGAGTTATGGCGGCAGACCCTTGAGTCTAAATGTTTTAGATTGAGCAGAACTAAAACCGAATACATGATATGCGACTTTGGCGGAGCTGTATAGGAGGAGGGAGATGTGAGTTTGGAAGGTCAAGTAGTGCCTAAGAAATATACCTTTCAGTATCTGGGATCGATGCTACAGAGAAATGGAGATATTGATGTGAATGTTAGCCACATAATCAAAGTAGGGTAGATTAAGTGGCGACAAGCTTCTGGCATCCTCTATGACAAGAGGGTACCACAAAAGCTAAAAGGCAAGTTTTATAGAACGATGATTAGACCGGCTATGACGTATGGAGCAGAATGTTGACCTACAAAGATTCGACATGTTCAACAACTGAGTGTTGCAGAAATGTGTATGTTGCGATGGATTTGTGGTCACACAAGAATGGACCGAGTTCTGAACGATGATATACGTGATCGCCTAGAGGTAGCACCAATTGAAGAAAAGCTTGTCCAACATCGGTTGAGGTGGTTTGGCTATGTCAAAGAAGACCTCCAAAGGCACCGGTGCATTGTGGAGTCCTAAGCCAACCTAATAATATGAGAAAAGGTAGAGGAAGACCGAAATTGATATGGAGGGAGACAATAAAAAGATATTTGAAAGCTTGGGATATACCTAGAGATCTATGTTTGAATAAGAGTGCTTGGAAAGCAGCTATTGAAGTGTATGAACCGTGACTTGGGGTTTTTGATGGGTTTCAACTCTAACCTACCCCAACTTGCTTGTGACTGAAAGGTTACGTTGTTGTCGTCGTTGTTTATACTATTTTAGATATAATTCCTATGAAATATAGCTATATTTTTTTTGAGGGAATGAAATATAGCTATGTGCCTATGTGATACTAAGAGATGAGGCTCCTCTGACTTTGGGTCCAGGCCCACCTACCAGTGACACGGGCTGCTGTAGGAGCCCAATTAGAGGATCTGCTTCCGGTAATCTGGTACTCAGGGTGCATCGCAAAAGCGAAAACGTCCCCTCCCGCACCACACGTCTCCCTCCCTCCGTGTCACTGACGCGCGGGTCCCGCCCCCCATCGTCGCCCCGGACCGAATCCCCACCGCCCACCATGGACGCCGATTCGATCTTGAATCAAGGGGGATTCAAATCACACCCGCTACTCCCCCTCCCCTCCGGTTTCTACCCTTAATCGCACGCGGAGGTGGGAATCATTTGTCGTCTCCCGTGGGCCGTGGCCATCGGCGACAGCTGCAGAGATGCGAGACCACAAATACCGGATCAAACCCGCGGCCGGCGGTCAGCGGCGAGCAGATGTTTCTTATGCAATAATGTCTCGCCGCCAGCTAAACCCACTTAACCACACGGAAATCCAGTTACTTTGGAGCAAAATGAACTGAGGTTTCGGCAGTAGTGCTTGCTTTTGTCATCTTTGAGTACAAGTACAAGACAACTAGGAGCATCGAGCATTGGAGCAACTCTTTAGCACTGGCAACAACAAGGTGTGGTTTTTCTTGCACATCCGCCGTTTATTGCTGGATGTAACAGCCTCTTTTATATATTGCTTGATCTGGCAAACAGCACGACCTCCCTTGTTTACTCAAAATCCACAGTTTCTGTAGGACAACATTAATACTGTAACACCTTCAAAAACAACAAGACATAATAACCACACAAGAGTGATCTCGATCTGATCCATGCCATGAGTTGTACCACTGTGATCCATGCCGCCCCGTTCGGCTTACCTACAAGCCGACACGCCGACTTGTTTGGCTTCTTTTTTCAGTCGAGCCGGCTTGTTCGGCTTCTTTTTTCAGTCGGAACAGTGTTTTTCTCTTACAACAATTCAGCCAGAACAATGTTTTCAGCCAGTTTCAGACAAAATTCAGAAAGCCGAACAGGAATGGGACATCTTTCAGATTGCCTGTGCAGATTTGCCCCAGTGCCACCCTCAGGCAGATTTACTTTATCCTTTGACTAGCAGCACCACACCTCCATGCTGGAGTTTCCTCAAATGCTAGCCTAATGACTTGAATGCACCTGCCGAGCACCACCAGCACCTTGCCTTATATCATCAAAATATAAAAGGGTCACTTAATACACACTAGAACCCCAAAAGGTATAGATAGTCCATGTTCCAATAGATTCTCACATGATACATTGAACTCCTTTTACCTATTGTGCTGTAACAAACCATGTCAGGAATCTAGAGAAAGGTTCTAACTAGACATCCTCCATCACAGGCATGTAATAATATACACTTCCACATAATAGTTTCTTCGCAACGTGTTATAAATGTAAACAGGGTGTTGGATAGTACAGTTGATTAAATTACAAAATACAGTAGTAGTATGCTCAGAAGTTAGGAGCTCAGAAACGTGCAGATTACAGCAATGACTTGATATTCAGAACTAGCAGCTCCTAACTCCCAAAACATTCCGCACCTGACTGTAGATGATTAACAGAAACTACTAGCTATTCAGTTCCTCTTCAGAGCTACCAGATTGAAGAACAAGTCCATGACAAGTCAGTCAAGAACTCTGCACTGAGATCCCACTGCTGCCAGTGAGTTTCCACTATACTTCAGTCTGGCAAATCCTCCTCTCCACCAGGCACTTATCCTTTAGTGATTGAATAGCGACAAGGAGTAGAAATCAGCAACTTCGAGTACAGTTCTACAAACTCTGGGTATTCAGGTATCCTGACAGAGAATATAAATCTGTACAGAACTACATTTCTGAATTTGTCAGAATAATGTAGCACTTAGCATAAGTAGTCGATACTGATAACATGTTAAGAAATGGTTTGAAATGGTTTGCTGGCGCACTGCAGAAATTCTACCAGTGGCCACCACGACCATCGACGGTAGCAGGTAATTTGTTTGCTGCATATGGCTTTGGCTGCCCAGCTTGGTTCACATCCATCCTTTCAGCATCACCTGTCTCACTCTTGCAGGTCTGACTTCTTCTGGGGTATGAGCTTCCAGAAGGGATATTATTTGGGGCAACTGCTGGGTGCCTAGCAATTCTTCGTTGCTCATATTGCTCAGCAGCAGATGCTGGATATGGGTTGTACTGCATCACTGAACCAACCGCTTTACCAGGCCTTGCAACATCACCTGTCAGATGAAGTGATGCATCAAATAAGTCTAGGATTAGCAGTTAAAGTTATGCAGAACTAATAATGATGATTCAAAGATCTATTGTATATGCTAGATATCAGTTCTCCAAAATAACAGAACATTAACGAATAAAAACAGATAAGTAATCCAAAAAACTTGTTGCTTGGCTGAAACTCAAATTCACATCAGTTTATACAGCTAAGTACAATGACCTCTTAGGGGTTGCAGATGCTTACCTTGAGGAACATGGGGTGGAAATTTACTTGCAACATAAGCAGAATGTTGATGTGTCTTCTGTGTATTTTCTCTGATTATACACTTGGAAAGATCCTCGGTGATGTTAGCTGTGGTTTGTGATCGGTTGTCTGAATAGACAACAGATGGCCTGTCATAATATACACAAGTAGATAATCAGGAACCAGACAATCGTGCCTAAGATTGTTATCACTTAATTCAAGGCAGAGGAGAGCGATATCTCACCGTGGCAATGAATTATGTTGCCTCTCAGGTGGAGTTCCTGTAGATCCCTTGGCATAATGTTCTTCAAGGTATGCAAACTGCTTTTTAAAATGATCTACTGCACTGAAAAATGATACAGCAACTCATTTCAGTTCTACGAAAATGAGTCTCAAATTTATTTAGTGCCTGACTGGCTACACTAATCAGCATTAATCTTGTTCCACAAAATAAGTAATCACTACTCTACCAATCAAGAAAAAATATATATCTCATGCCTTATGTACCACTTATTGGCAGTCACATAGCAGTGAAAATGATTATTTCATTCATAAATCTGCACACGTAATAGAGCAAGAATGATGAACATACAAACATACAGAGTAGCCAGGTTACTACTATAGCAGCACAAAATTGTCTCAAGAACTAAATTAGGTACTTTTTAGTCAAATGTTAAAGAATGAAAGTGGCATTGGCTATGTACACACCTTGGGTACATGAAACCACTTGACTCAGTTCCCTCAAGAAACTCCCTTAGCATCTTAGGATGATACTCAAGAATTTCCCTATATATGAGCTCCCTTATGTCTTCCTTTGTAACTCTCCGCCTCTCGAATTCAAATTCAAGCTTTGTGACAGCCTGTGCAGAAGGCTCTCTATCCACATTGGCTATATTCTTGAAATAAGGATCAGCAAGAGCCTGGCATAGTGTATGAGACATTAGCTGATGATGTCAACACTTCAGGTTAAGTTGAACGCTCTATAATACAGTACTGAAAAAAGAGTGCCAATAAAATCACCTCTTCAGCACTTGGCCTGTCTTTTGGCTCAAAAGCTAGCATTCGCTCCAACAAACTAAGTGCAAGTGGATCTGCATTTGGGAACTTTTGCGTAAATGGTATAGGCTTTTTCCGCCTCATACTGCTCAAGTAGCGCCTGGCCTTTTCATTACGAATCTACAGGGCAATTATATAGAAGCATTAGACTAATTTTGCTGCAGTAATAAACATATTGATGCTAAACTGTACCTACCCTCGATATTGCTTCTGGAGAAGGTGTTCCCAGGAGATCTGTAATTATATCAAGTTGATGCACCACATTTTTCCCCGGGAAAAGAGGTTTTCCAGTTAACAATTCTGCAAATATACAACCAATACTCCATATATCTATCGCCGGTGTATACTGCAAAAAAGCAAAAACACACAATGTTCAACAGTGCTCCAGATATTTCACAAACTATACAGGGCCATGGAACAAGTGAGAGAGAAATATGCAACAGTCCTTCCTATGAACAAAGAACATGCTATAGTGACATATCTAAAACGACATGATATTACATCAAGCAATTAAAGCAGACGCTTATGAAAGCCATGTTTGTGAGATGCTCTGCATATAAACTCAGCATAATCAATAAGAGTGCACTCAATAACTATGGACTCTGCAGGAACTTGTCTTCAGTTATTGGTCTAGTGCCCATTGACCCCAAAGTATAACTAAATCTTTGGATTTCAATATATTATGATCAAAACAAAGGTTAAGATGTTTGATTTCCTGGTCAGAATAGCAGCATTCTTGTAAAGTACTAAATACTAACCACATTAAATTAGAATATTGCAGCAATAAAGACGAAAAGAGATCATGACTATTATTGCCAGTGTCATGATTGACATCAAATCGAACATATGTTTAGAAGACCACTAACCTTGGAGAAGAAAGATCCGCACAGCTCCGGTGCTCGGTACCACCTAGTTGCAACATAATCCTAAAAAGAGAGTAAGAAATTAGGCACCACTAGAAAGCTAGACTAGCTACAAGAACTGAACAGCATAGTGGTCGAAAAGATGGCATACCGTCCAAAAGATGGCAGTTGGAGTATCATTGAAAGCTACTCTTGCTAGGCCAAAGTCGCATATTTTGAGCTTACAATCAGCATTTGCCAGAATATTTTTTGGTTTGAGATCTCGATGAAATACATTTGCTGCAATAAGCTATTGAAAGATGCATCAGTCATATCAGGCATGTTAGTGCCACTAAAAGGACTCAGTAGAAATAAAACAGATGAGGAGCCCCTAATGATGACCAACTATGAATCTTTAATGAGTATTACAATTTCTCCTGTGTATTACTGCTCACCCCTTACTTCCATATTTGTATTTTCAACATATAACAGACATTGCTATTATCTTGCTCAAATAGACTTGTCCATTTCTAGTTATTCCATACAAAAAAAAAATTGAGATGTGACTGTCTATACAGCTATAGATCACAAATATGACAGTCATTCATATTATCACTGAAAAGAGTGTTATCATATTTATTACGTATTTTATATAAAAAAATCTTACCATAAAAGAAAAGGAGTTGTAAGAAATATTCTTGATCATAAACATGTTATATATGACCATCGTAAAAAGCAAAACTATTCCTTGACACATACAGCCAATTCACAAAAATAGTATGCCTATCAAGAGCAATGAATCTTATATAATATATCTAGGGCCTAGGCAGTATCCATATATAATTTAGTATCTCACAAAGACAAGCAAAATAATGTATGTCTGAATTGAGAATATAGCTAGGCTGACATAGTTAAGCAGCAACTCTTAGTTTCATACAACCTATAGTGAACCTTGATTTGCACCAAAACAAGTGCAAAATACCATTACATTTGGTTAAGATTTCAGAAACTAAGCAATAAAGAACTTTGGATGGGATATATTTGACTACCGCAAAGAAAGGTCTTCCTTGAATAAAGTAAACAGTAGACACCAAAATGAACAGTTTTGATGTATCTGAAAACAACCTACAATCTCATATGGTCCCCTTGTCTCTTGAGAGTATAGTTTCTGAAGACATTGTTAATTTTCAACTCCCCCCCCCCCCAAAAAAATGTTAGCAGTGGCTTAGCGGCTACTACCACATACAGTAGTTTGGATTGCTGTCAAGTTTACATTTATACCACTCCAATGGTCATGCACAGTGGCAAGTTCATCACACTCGTTTTTCCTGTAAATGTAGAACTCCACACCACAGGCTACGGCCTAGTAGAATATACAGAAAGAACACTAATAATTCATGTGAAAGCAAATCAATTACCTGTATGTATGTATTTCAATCCTCGAAGCAACTGATACAAGAAAAACTGATAATGCTCCGGGGTCAAGTCATCGTTAGCCTTTATAACTTGGTGCAAATCAGACTCCATGAGTTCAAAAACAACATATATATCCCTGAACTCCCTCCTCGACGGAGGAAGCAGGATATGCTTTATCTCCACAATATCCGGGTGCCGCAGGAGCCTGAGGAGCTTGATCTCCCGGAGTATCCGTGTCGCATCAGACACATGCTCGAAGATGTCGTTTATCTTCTTTATAGCCACCTTTTCACCAGTATGCGTGTCCATGGCAGAGCAAACCACGCCGTAGCTGCCTTTGCCTATGACCTCCTCTATCTTGTACCTGCTTCCCTCACCATACTCCGTGAAAAAATCCATCTCTGAAGGTGCCTGCATCGCCAGAAACAGTAAATTACTCAGGCTGGACAATGCATGGCTACTGGCTGAGGCTAAAAATCACAACTTCGAGGGGGGCAAACGATATCCACAGATCAAGAAAATGGCCACATCAGACACTCATGGAGATTTGTAAATTGCAAGACCGTTGTGACCACTAAAGCAACGGAAAATCACAGCAAGGACAAAGCTGGCAACAAAAAACCAAATATTACACGAGACTAAAAGTCAACAGAGAGTCCTAAACGCCCAGATTTGGAGCCGAGAAAGCAAGGAGGACCACCACCACGAGATGAGACAGAAGAAGAGACCGACCTTCTTCTTCTGGTCGTGCTGCATCCTCCCAGCAATCTTCAGGAACCACCACCCAAGCGAGGATCTTTGAGCAAAGGGGGCACGAAAGGTCGGATCTTGCGAGCCAGATCCAGCAGGAAGAGGGGGAACGAGGCCGAGGAAGACGGGCGGGAGCTCACTGCTGCTCAGTGCCTGCCCACACGCGCGCACAAAAAAGGCGAGGTGATGAGCGCGGCGACAGCGCAGATCTCCGTGTCCCGGAGCTGAGCTGAAAGGAGCCGGCAAGGGGGAAGGGGCGGATCACCCAACCAACGAGCACAGCTGTGATCTAAGCAGAGCTCGAGGCCACCCACATGGAGTGGGGGGAATGAGAGAGAGAGAGAGAGAGAGAGAGAGAGAGAGAGAGTGGTAGCTGAGGCGTCAAGTGAGGGAGACCACCACCAGACAGCAGCACCAGTGGCCCCTGGCTTCCCAAGTTATATCATCAGCGCCTCTCACAGCTGCCACGAGCTGTTTTTTCCTGCACACACAGCCTCGCTTCTTTTTCTTCACACTTTTCTCGCCCGGGGATGATGATTTGCTTGGCTGGTGTGCTCCTGTCCTCATGACTCGTGAGGGCAGCAGGGCCGCCGCAGGGGGAGCGAGCGCGGCGGCCGCCACCGATGGGCGATGATGGCAAAAGGATTGGGGCACATGGAGCCACCTGGTAGTGTCGCCGTCGCGCACAGTTGGAGCACAGGTTGCGCCGATTTTAGGATGCGTCTCTAAACGAGTAAACTAATTGTGGACGGTGCGGACGGCGATCTCTCGTCCCCTCCCTCGTCAAAGCTGGAACACGCTTTGTGCTACGCCGCTAGCTGTGAGTGAGCGAGCGCTTGGACAAGTTACAGTACTAAGTTAGACTCACTTGTCGATTAGTGAACCTCGTTGTGTTGGAAGAATTTGGGGTATTCTGGTTTGGTTTGTTAGCTATTCCCAGTGTAGTCTGGATAACCTACTTCAAAACCGAAGGCTGACGTATAGGATGAAACACTCTCTCCGGTATCTAAAAGAGATTAAGACTGCATGTTCATTAATTGTTGCATGTGTTATTGTCAAATATATCACGAAACACTAGTATACCATTCAGTTATCTATTAGCTTCGCATGCACATGGGTTATCCTCTACAAACACACTTCGTAGGGTCTAGTTGCAGCGGCTTTGCAAAAATTGGCGCAAACGGTTAGGGTGTTTCTCTCCGGGCACATGGATGGTTGTCTAGTCTTAAGATTAATAGTCATTAGGGTGTTACTAGGGATAAAAATGGTCGGGAACGGTCGGAAAAATGTCTTAACCATTCTTGCTCCTATATTTTTTTTGCCAGGAACGGAAAGGCCGGACGGGAAAACGAAACCGGTAATACGGGATATCGGGAACGGAATATTTCGAACGAGAACGTGTCGATTACGATCGGAAAGCGGTAACACAAAACGGGAACATCAATATATGTAACCACTTAAAACAATGAGCTCGATGCAATAATAGCAACCATATGCAAACAAGTGGACAAGTTCATAACGTCCTGGAGCGTTGTATATTGTTAATAGAGGATACATTGTCAATAGTCCAATCCTGGGCATTTATTTTCTTTGTGGAGGATCAACTATATATGGAAGGCGAGGACCGAGCGCCAGCCCGGTTGGTTGAGTCTCCCGGTGGTGGAGCAACCGCTCGTGGGTTCGATCCCTGGGATCAGCTCACGTGCTCACCGAGGTTTTCCCTCATGAATAATCAGGTGTGTGTTGTGCAGCACCTTGCCTCTCACGCATGATGCCACAATAGAATCGTGACGTGCCCGTCGCCTACGAAGTCAGTTGATTTCGGTGATCTCAAGAAGGACACGGTCTTCAGATCTGAGTGTAGCTATAGATTTGTTTGTACACGGGTGGTGTGAGTAGTGTGCGTGTGTGTTGAGTAGGTGTGCGTGTGTACGAACAGATGCTATAGCTGTACCCAGATGAGAGGCAATCAAAAAAAACTATATATGTAAGACAATAGAGGATACATTTGTCAATTTTCGTACCCAAACCTAAGCTGACTTAATTATCTTTCATTGTGGAGTAGCTATAGTGCTGTACTGTAGTTCATTTAAGTCTACAACAACAGTAAGGTAGCATATTGTGTACACGCTTGTACAGTTTGGTCTAAGCCGCCTGCTGACCGCCTTATTGCAGGGCGGCTTACTGATTTCAAGCCCTTTTCTACATGTACTAACCAGCTATAGTTCATCAGTTATAGTTAACACACTTCAGTGGCGTCATTATCAGTATTAATATTTCTTGAGAGAGGTGACGGTGATTATAGGTGTATAAAATACGAAAATACCGCCGGAAATTTTTCTGCCCAAATACGGGAACCGTGAATACGGTCGGGAAAATTCCTTAACTGATTCCGTTCCCGTTCCTGCCTAAAATACGATGTCGGTTTCCCGTTTCCTATTTTTCCTACAAAAAAACGACATGCGATCGGTTAATGCGGTATACGGTGTCGGTCGGTATGGGAATTTCCCATCCCATTTTCATCCATAGGTGTTACATTCTTCTATTTTGTGTGTTAGGCTATGTGTTTTTGTAGAGATCGGAAGTGTGTTCATGATTATTGTATCAACTCGAAGTAACAATTATGAATCAATCAAATCCTTTGTTTATAAAAAATACCCCTAGGTGTGGTAACATATAAACTTGAGGAAAATGCATACATGGTCCTTCAACTTGGCAAGAGATGTCATCTAGGTCCCTCTACTTTCAAAATGTCAATTCTAGATCCATAAACTTGACTTCGGGTGTCATCCAAGTCCAAACGAGCTTGGACGAAGACAAACTTTATATCAAAATTGTAGACCTCAATAGGATCTACAACTTTGTAGTTGAAAAGTTTTTGAATTAAAACTGTTTAGGGTCCCAAAATACTATGGTAAGTTTACAGATTTTGAAATTCAAAATTTAACATTATCAAAAAATGTCGGATGTTGACATGGTCCATATGAAAGTTATATTTATCAATACAATCTACAACTTTGTAGTTTGAAAAGTTTTTTATTTGAAGTCGTCTAGTATCTCAAATATGTGTTCTAAGTTTCTTATTTCAAAATCTATAAATTTAGAACATATATTTGGGACACTAAACAACTTCAAATAAAAAGTTTTCAACTACAAATTTTTAGATCGTATTGATAACTATAACTTTCATATAAATCATGTCAACATCCGAGATTGTTGGATAATTTTAAATTTTAAATTTCAAAATATGCGCACTTATAACAGTATTTTGGGACCCTAAACAGTTTCAATTCAAAAACTTTTCAACTACAAAGTTGTAGATCCTGTCGAGGGCTACAATTGTGATATAAAGTTTGTCTTCATCCGAACTCGTTTGGACCCGTTTAAACCTAGATGACACTTGAAGCCAAGTTTATGGACACAGAATTAGTATTTTGAAAGTAGAAGGACCTAGCCAAGTTGAAAGATCGCCCGTGTATTTTTCTCTGTAAACTCTATAGGACGCTGGATACAAAGCTCACGTGGTATCTTCTTTGTGTTTCCCCCTCCTTTTTAAAGCCCATTATCGCATCAGCAATTTGTCCTATGTGCCTTACACTAGCTAGGACTAGTTTTATACCATACTAGAATTTAATCTTTCTTATGGCTCGCCGGCAGCGGCATGGACTCGACGCAGCCGAACACACCTTTGCGACCAAGAAGCTGAGACGACTGACCACATCAATGCCTCGTGTTCCTTCTCACGACAAATTTGGTGGAACATCCTGGCAGCTCTCGGCGTCAACCGTCCTGTTCGTTTGATCGTATCAGTCATACTTATCAACCATGATACAATATTTTTCTCTCACAACAAAACAACATCAGCTAACTTATAAGCCACATAAACGATCAAGCGAACATGTCGGGGGGGGACGATTGACATGGTGGAGATCGTGGAGGACCAAATGGAATGCTCGGCAAAGGAAGGGAGCTGATTCACTCTTCGCTCTTGTGGCCTAGGAGCTCTAGAAAGAGCACAATGCACGGTGCTTCCGGCGCAACCACTACAGTCGATCCTCACGGAGCTCTATAAAGTGAGGCGGATCGGTGGATTGAAGCCGAAAACTCAAGGCTGAGTAGTCTTATACTTAAGTAATCTCCCTTATATCACTACCGGCTAGGGTGGGCAGCGCCCATTGTAAATGTTCAACCCGTCCTAGTGTGCCCCTGTAGCGGCACTTCGTTGTAAAATATTTTCCTTCTTAATACAAAGATATACAAGCCTTTTGTGTATTCAAGAAAAAACTATGAGAAGTTTATGTTTTTGAAGTCTTCACACTTGGAGCAAACTCCCAAGACTTGAATTGTCTGTTTACCGCGAAGAATGAATTTCTATTTTCTTACATGGAAATGAAGATGTGGTTGACGGTGCCTACTAATAAAACATGCTTATATGTTTCTCTCCAGAGACCACTCTTGTCTTTTTTTCTTTTTGTGTGTGTGTGTGTGGTGGGGTGGTGGTGGTGGGTTTGGGGGTTCATCAAGTTGAACTAATGCTATGTCTTGAGGCAAAAACATGACTACTGGAAAAATGGAAATTTCCGGCTACGTCGTGATTTATACAAAGGTGAAGACTGAAGCTTTGTCATTTAATAAAAAAAATAAAAACAGCCTATCGGGAGACCAGATCCCATATACATATCCTCCCAAATCCCAAAAGAGAAGAGTGAAAAAACAGCCGTTGTAACTGAACGCTCATATCTGTTTTTGATGGAAAGATGCTGATACCTAGCTCTATATAACCAGCACCACCGTACCCAAGGTTGCAAAACTCAATCATGCCCACCAAAGGGCATCTGCCTCAATTAATTTTCTATTTCCTGCTCTCTCTCTCTCTCTCTCTCTCTCTCTCTCTCTCTCCACGTGCTGACCAAAGGAATGGGCGAGATTGCAACGTTAACGATTTATGGGTAGAGGAATTGGCTACACGGTTACATGAAAGAGGAAAAAAAGGGTTATGGGCAGACAAGCTTATCAGGCATTCCGGATGATAACAAGCAATGCCATCCTTCAAATCCACAACTGACGATGACCATACAACAAGCAATGGACTCTCCATGCATGTTTTTTTTTGGAACTTCTCTCCATGCATGTTGACATCACTACATCAGTGCAACAAGCAGCAATGGTCCACACATGCGTACTACTAGGGATGAAAACGGATCGGATACGGACGGATATCACCGATATTACATTTGTTTTCATATTTCTGTCTGGATTCGGATTCGAATACGGATAGTGTCAACTATGTCGGATATGATACGATTGGATATCGACATCATAAATATGCGATTTGAGTATTCGGATACGGATACGGTATCGGATGTTGGATATCCGGACTCGGATACGGACAGATCTCAACCCCTCTAAACGGATTCGGTTTCGAATACGGTCGAAAAATATCCATACCGTTTTCATCCCTACGTACTACCGACAGCTTGCTAGCCTAGCTACTTCCCCGCTACCAATTGACAAATTTGACGAGCAGATGGGAAATTAACCACAGGACGGAAGCGAGATTACGACAGATGACGTTACGGCTTGATCAAGAAAACAGACCAAGGTCAACACCGTTTTCTTTGTTTATTTTTGTTTTATTTCATCTGATTTGACTCACTGCAAAGTAATACACGGTTTGTTTCATTGTGGGGAAAGGCTGGCGTCCAGACGACCGGACGGGGCCAGCGTCCCGACGCCCGCGCCACACGCCTACGCTGCTTCACATGGGGCCGCGCCACTCCATATCCCCGCGCCGCCCCATGTCCTGTGTCGCTTCGTGTCCCATGCCAGCTCTGTGTCCCGCGCTGCTCCGTCTCGATCTGTGCCCGCACGGTATCCTACTCGTGACCCCTCCACACCTATGCGCATATAGGCAGGTGGCTACTGCTGCAGATGGGTCCCACTCCAACATGTGCAACATCATATCTACTTTTACAACATATAGATAAAAACATTTATAACATACGTCCGAAACAATTGAAACACTTACAACATATGTCTGAAATATTTGTGAAACACCAGAAAAAACTTAAAAACCACGTGTGTAGCCATTGCAAACATTCAGATGAAACAACTTGCAACATATGTATGAAAACATTTAAAACACTTGCATATATATGCAACATTCATATTTACTTTTGCAACATCTAGATTAAACACTTGCAACATATGTCTAAAACAGATGAAACATTTGGAACCTACACTTGAAACATCCGTGTATAGCTATTGAAACATGTACAACATCCCGATCTACTTTTGTAACATGGATGTGAAACACTTGCAACACACCTATAAAACATCTGAAACACTTAAAACATACACTTGCAACATGCGTTTCCAGCAGAAATATCACCTTGTTGCTTGGACAAATGGAGGCTTATCGTTGCGGAGCTCGACACCGGTGCGGAGGTCGGTGGCGGCTCATGGAGCTCGTCGGTGCCCAGCATCGCCGGTGCCCTAACGGAGGCACTGTGTTGGGCGAGCACCTGCGCGAGGCCGCGAGAGCAACTGGGCCTGGAGGTGGAGGTGGAGGCTGGTAGGGGCGCCGCCGCCGTTGGTGAAGGGGAGAGGAAGTGCCAGTGAGGGGAGGGGCACCACCGCCGGAGGGAAGCAAGGTGCCCGCCGGTGCGCCATCACCGTGGCCGCTTGTGCGTCGCCACAGCCGAGAGGGGGCTGGCCGCCTTGCGCATCCGCTAAGGGAGAGGGAGAGAGAGAGAGAGAGCGTGCGCGGCTGAGACGGAGAAGAAGAGAGGAAGAGAGATGGATCGAGCGTGCAACTGAGGGAGAGGGATAGAAAGAGAGCTAGGACTTCTCAGCCTATATATAGTAGGAATCAGTTAGCGGGCCTAGATGGGCCAGGTGGGCTCAGCCACGATTTACAGAGGTAAGCCTCATTAGAGGTCCGTCTCCGTAAATCAATTTTAGGTTTTTGACCGCCTTCATAAATCAATTTTGTGTGACTGTTAATTTTGACCGCCTCGGTAAATGAAAATTCCCGTCTCCGAAAATCCTCAAGCATTTTGCAAGGCGGTTGAATTTTGTGACCGCCTCGATTAATGTTTGGGCGCCGCCTCGCAAAACCATTTTTGTAGTAGTTTATATTTTTAGTTAAAATTTTAAAAAAATGACCTCGAGAAGAGAGATGCGTGTTTATTTTGGGATAGAGATATAGCAAGCAACTATCAAGTCCAAGCATGTTTCATATTAATATATGGGTGCTGGAGCCTTATCTTACATTTTACTGAAAAACTCACTTTTTTATAGTGCGATGACGATGATGATAGTTTTATTTTGCTATTATATTGTATTTTATTGGCACAAAATGTTGTTTCAATAGCACCCGTCTCTCGAGGTGAACTTAAGTTACAATTACTTCCCTAGAAGAGTAGTAGTATGTATTCCCTCATCATATGAAATATAAGGGATCTAGTTTTATCCTAAGTCAAATTATAGTAACTTTGACGTGCTAATGCCAGGCTTCATATCTAACCATCCAATGGCCTCTTCATGTCTGACCACTGACCAGAATCTGTCGGATAGTATCACTGCAGATGGCGACCATGCGTGCGTACTACTGATAACAGCTAGTACATTCTCATTGCCATTTGTCAAATTTGACGTGCTAATGCCAAACTATAGGATGACACATTATGATTTGACAAAAGAAAGTTATTTCATCTGACGCTTCATGGTTTCGAAAGTAGCACCTCAAAAGGAAAAAAGTTCTGTGTCACGTCTTTTTCAAGAACCTAACTGTCTGAATCCAGGTGAACAAGAAAAAAAATTGTCCGTTCGCGTCAACAAAACGTAGCACATATCTCGTCACCATTTCTTCAGATATTTTTGCCACAAACTAAACACCTAAGTTATAGCTGCCATCGACAGTGTTAAGCGGGGAATCGGCGATTACATGACTCTAATCTTCATTTATAAATGGAGTAAAAAAAAAAGTAGAGTAGACAAACTAAGTTCAGTACCATCACAAATCATGTACAAATTACAAAATACATAGGAAGCCTAAGCCACATGCCAATGGCACATAGACAGCGGCTTTCAACTGTGGTCGTTTTTGTGATGGTGCTTAGCGATTTTCTTCCCTTGATTCCTTACTTTCCATGAATTGGGAAGAATCTTGGACCAAAAGGTCCATGATATGTTACTTGCGGTCATTGATATCAGATGAGGTCGATCCGGCCACCCTCAACGAGTCCCTTGATGGACTTGTACCGAAGAACATACAAGTCATCGGCAACCAAATCCACAACCTCCTCTCCTCTTCAAGGAAGCAAACATCAACGACAGCAGAGCTTGAAAGGGTGCAAAGCAAAGAGTTGGATGTGTGTTTGGGCACTTACATGTCATCTAGCTGAAATGCACCAACGTCGCTCTTGGTCTTGCAGAAGACAAAAGTGTCAAGCTGAGGCTCTGGCACTGAAAGAGGCATTTGAAAACTGAATCAGATGGATGGTTGCTAGTGGCAGATTACATGAACAAACATGTCTAAAAGCACATTTGCTGCACATCTTTAGCAATATAAAATCCCAAAGCATTCAGTATTTTTTTTAGAGATATAAGAAGCATGTGAATGAATAATGCATAAATATGTCCCTGCGGTTATTATCAATGTAGAAAAGCATGCTTTAAGAGCCTTATTTACTCTTGAACCTTTGCCTAAAAGTGAAGCTAAAGGCTAGTCTAAAAAAAGGAGAAGCTAAGGACTGCTTAGCCATTGCCTTTATTCAGTACTAATCAGTGGCAGACCTTTTACAGATAGGTTGATCTCTTCAAATTTGATAAATCCATCAGAAATGCATTTGTAAGCACATAATGATCTAATACCCAAGCTGGAGGTTAGGAAGATTTTTTTTTTTGGCCAAACCTTGAAGATAGGCTGCGATAGCATCACCTCTATGCATCCATGGAAGAGGATAATAAATTAATAATCACACTGCTAGGAGGGCAATAAATCAGCCTGATTGGTGTGGGAACGCCCAAAATTCCAAATTACTAGACGACTATCAAATTCACGGCAAGCTGATGGGACCGTGGGAGCATGTTCATAATTTGGGGACAGAAGTCTAAGACGCGGTAGGTAACGAGAACCATCACATAAAAACTGCAAGAGGGCATCCTTGTACTAGAGCTGTGATTAATTTGACAACTAAACTTTTGTTATGTAGGAAGTCGACTTTTGAGCACAACTAACGATCATAGTCCCCAAGGATACATGACAGGCTGCCCACTAGAAATGAATCGGCAAAAGTTTCTACCAACCATACAGGCTTACTCATGACTGAAGCTGCAGACAACAAGAACAGTACAGAAGTAACAGTAGCAACAAAACAAGGAACGCGGTAATTTGAGAGATCAAGCGAAGGGCATATACCCATGTCATCCTCAGTGCTGGACAACGACTGCCTGGTAACCGAGTCATACCCGTACGGGAGCTTGGACAGCACCGACTGCTCCAGATGCTTCTCCATGATCTCCGCGCAACTTGTGACAGAGCAGACACGAGAAATTCACCCCGATCAGAACCAGGGACAATTTCACAAATTTAGCATAAACAATTGGGTCAACTGCCCCAGCCGCATGGGGGCAGCCAGAAGGTACTGTACCTCTTGGCGAAGCGGCGTTCCTGCTGCGACAGGCGGCTGAGGAGGTCGTCGGACCTGGAGATATGCATCGTGTACTTCTCGATCTGCAGCAGCCACACCAGCAGCGCGATCAGACTGGTGCAACAGTTCTTTTGGGCCACTAATTTTGGTTCAGTTTAGGCAGGGCAGCGCACGAACGAACATGGGGGGTGGGTTGTGAAGTAACCACTAACCTTCTGCAGGCGGAGGCGGAGGTAGGAGCGGAGGAGGAAGAGAGTGCGGTCGAGGTCCATCTGGTAGAGCGAGACCACCAGGTCGTCGACGCCGCTGTCGGCGAAGTCGTCGAGCGTCTCCTCCTGGAAACGACACGACACCGGGAGAGGGAACCCCGGTCAGATCCAGAGCCGCAGGAGGGTGGGGGGCACGGGGCACGCGATCGAGAAGAAAGACGGAGAGGGAGAAGCGTACGAGGAGCTGGATCTGTTCGCGGACGCGGGACACGAGCGGCGAGTCGAAGCGGAGGATCTCCGGCGCGGCCTTCTCGTTGCGCCACGCCCGCTTGAGCAGCTCCACGTCCGTGGCCGCCGCCGCCGCCGAGTCGTCGTCGTCCCAGGAGGACATCCTCGTGTTCCCCTCGTCTCCCTCTCTCGCTGGTAGATCCGATAGCGATGCGGATGCCGACTACACGGCGGGCGGCAGCGCTGTCAATTCTGAATTCTCTACAGGCGCGGCGGGCGCGGCTTCTGGCGGGAATTTGGGCGCGCGCGTGGGGAAACCGCGGGAAACTCGCCTTCTCTCTTTTTATTTTTCAGCAAAACCAAAATTGGGCTTAGATTAGTTTGCTACTGGGCCTTTTTTTGGGCCTACTAGGCTGCTTGTGCAGCTGAACCCGGGCCTGTCTTCTGGACCTTTCGTTCCCCACGGTACAGTAGAACAGGGCGCCCGACAGGCGATTCTGCTTCTGGCATCGGCTTCGATGCCGGAGGAGGAGAGGGGCCGCGGAATTGACGGCCGTTGTACATACCCTCTCCTATTAGCGTTTGTTTAGTTAGGTTAGGGTTTGTGTTCTCCGCATCGTGGGTGTTGTCGATGCGGATTCTAGCTCTGTACCTATCATCCGCGGAGATGGCGTTGGTTTCAGCTTGGTCGCCATCGGTGGTGACCTTCGATGTCGTTGCTCCTGCGGATTCAAGGTACCTTTTGCTTACCCTATGCTCGGTTGGGATGGGGCCTGTTCTTCTCCCCTGGTTAGGGTTTGTCTACCAACTCGTTGAGAAACCGGGTTGGTGTCTAGTTCCCACCTTCTTTGGTGGTTTTGTTCATCTTCGGGTTGTGTCGTTCTTTGGTGAGTCAGGGCTGCTAGTGGCCTTTGAGGCGCTAGATCCCTTGTCTCCCGGCGATGTGATGACCGGTTGGCCATCTTCTTCAGCCAGGGCGTTCAGCGAGTATACAACATGTCGGTGTTTTTGGGGTGCGGCTCTTGGTGGCATAAAAAAAATTTGTGAAGTTCCATCGTCTGGAAGGAGGTCGGCTTCAAGCTGCACTTGGCTGCTCCGATCGCTGGTGACGAGGACGACCGGGAGGATCTTGCAAGGACCAAGCTGTAATTGTTGTTTTCTTCATGTGTGTCTCTGTAAGATGTGGAATGTAAACTTTAAGAAGTCTATGTAATATATATCCCCGGTTTCTAAAAAAAACTGAACCCGGGCCTCGTCGTCGCGCGCGTCTTGAAGGTGGGGCCCGCAGGTCACTGTAACAATCCAGCCCTTGTGGCTCTCACCTTCGTTCCGGATCTCCCTCGACCCTCGTAGGCTGGAAATATCAGGCGCCGGTGGTGGTGGGCTGGTGGTCCACCGTCCACGGCGGCCGCACGCACCCACGGGCCACGGCCCACCGGGTGGGCCCCACCCTCACGAGTGGCCCCGACGAGGCAACGACCCCCGTCCCCCTCCCGAACTCCGATTCCCGAATCTTCCTCGCGCACCACAGGAAAAAAAAGAAAAACACCCAGCTCGGTCCGTCCGCCCCCCAGCCGAAATCCCCCCCTGTCGCTCGTTTTCCACCGCCGGCGGCTGGGCAAAATCGCCCGTTTTTCCCCACGCCACCGTCGCTCCACGCCGCCCCGGCGTCGCTGCCTCCACCCGTTTGCCCCCGGTAACACCCGCTTTTATCCTCCTCCCCCTCACCCCGCGCGCGCCGCACGCCCGCGCACATCCTCTCGCGCCTCCTATCGTCGCCTCTCGCTGCAGCCGCTAGCAGGGATCGATCGATGGTGGGGGACCTGTCCCTCCTCGCCGTCGCCTCCGCCTCCCCCGTCGTCCTCCCGCCGTCCAAGGTACGCCCGCGGCTCTAGCCCCCGAACCAAAATTCCCGTGCCAGACGAATCGCATCCGAGCTGCCGTCGGTCAATTGCCTGTGCCCGTTGGTCTTTGCCCTGATGGCTTCGCGATGGCTTACCCAGTGGCAGAGGGAGGTGGCTGTTGGCCCCCCAAGGCCCCAACAAGGGAAAATTCACATTTCTGGCTCCGCCACTGGGCTTGTGCTTACCAGTTGCGTTCGATTCGCGCTGTGCCTTTCGGATGATTGTTTTTGCTCGCTGTGGCTTACGGATTGCGTTGTCACGGTGAACAGGAGCTCCATGGCGTGCTTCCTCTCCAGGGGAAGAGGCCGCAGGACGCCAGCGTGCAGCTCTGCGCGCCGCTGCAGCAGCATCCGCCCCACCATCTAGAGGGGATGCCTTACCACCAGGGCCAGCCCATTCAGATGGTCGTGCCTGGCGCCCATCAGGGACAGGCCCTCCCTGCCGCCTACCAGGCCTTCGCGATGCCCGACACAGCCACACTCATCGACGTCCAAGGTTTGTTCATTGTGAATTTGTGATCTACCTATTGTTCTAGCGGCTGCTGACTTCTCTTGCACACATCATACCCGCCACTTTACTTAGGAGACTAGGACTTTCCGAATAAAGTGATGCGTGTTAGTACCTTATTATGCAAAGAAAGCTGATTTTTTGTTATATAGAAACAAAGCTACAACACCCTGCTGAGGAACATTATGCATGGCCTCTTCCATTTTGCCAAAAAAAAAGGAGGCGTGCTGTTGGTATCCATTCTATGCATACTTAAGCTTGAACACCAACACAAGTAGGATGCTACTTTGTTCCACAATCTAGAATTTATGAGTAGAGTGTTCATGGTTATCTTTTACAGCCTCTGATGGATGACTCCAATCATCTCATATCTCATGTTAATGTCTTTGGAACAGATTCACACCCTGACTCGGTTCAACTTAGCCTTGGGATCGCTGAGCAATGTGCAAGGCAAGAGAAACTCCTCAAGTTTCTGATGTCAGGGTCTGACGTGAAGGAACTTGATGAATCCTTGCTAGCTGAATTCACGGGGCAACAGACTCTAGCAATTAACATGGGAACTCAGCCATATATGCCGGATGATAAGTTATCAATCTCTGAATTAGTGTTGAATGAGCCCCAACACTATCTGCCAGAGAAAGAACTTGTCATCCCTGATCCTCTTCTGCACTTCGTTCAGTCCCATGGCGCTGTTCTTACTATTGATCAAAATGGCCGGGTCCTATTTGCTGGCAATGGTGATGAGATGATAGACTTGTTCTCAGTTTTCCTGGAGTTCAACATGTCTAAACGAGAAACAGGTGGCTGTAAGGCTGCATTTCTTGTTCCATACTTTGAGAGGTAATACTGCAAAACATGATTACTGAATGTTTATCTCTGAACTGCTATTTAGTGGTTGCCTAATTACTTAAGTGCACATAATGTCAGTAAGATTGCAAATGCAAATCATTCTATGTGACTTTGCTTCTGATATGTGGAAGGAATTATTTTTCTGTTAAGTATTGTGTTGGAACTATTAACTCGCTGTGGCTTGCCCATTAATTTCCTTGAATCAGGTAGCTGAGAGTGGATTAATATGATATAATGATGCATGGTATATCCATTATCTTCCAAGAACCCATGGATGAACTAGTACAGAACCAATGTTTTCAGGATCTTGGTTGAGCATGGGCGCCTTTGACAGGCCAGGAGCAGGACGATTAGTAATGGATAGTCCCCTGGTCGTCCCCTACATATAACTGATATATACCATATATATATATATATATATATAGTTATATATACAGTATAAAATATATACCATATATATATACACACACACACACACACTAGTATACTACATGTTCTAGGCTCTACTGCTCTAGATAGATAGGTCAGCTGGCCACTTACCTGGCTGCTGCAGAACCCTTTCTTGTCTTGTTGGCTGTTGCTGCCAAACTGAAATTATAGAAAAATAAAGCACATTAACAAAGGCAATTAGGTGAAAGGCAATGAAGTGATCAACAAAGCAAATTAACACAGTAAAGCACATAATTTAAACTAGTCCAGAACTGCATAGTGCATAGTAAAGCTTGAACGAGGAGGTGATGACTGATGACTGACCTGAGGAGGAGGAACTCATCTTCATCGTGCAGTCCTCCTACCTTGCACAGTTGGACCTGTGCACCGGCTGGATCTGCAGGCCTGCGCGCCTGCAGCAGCAGCCGCAAGGAAGAGGGAGGGCAGCTGGAAGGGAGGGAGGAGAGGGAGCAGCTGGGAACTGGAAGGGAGGAGAGGAGAGGGAGCTACAGAACTGCAGCAATAGAGGCGGCTGCTGCTGCTGGACGGGAGAGGCGAGAGGAGTGAGTGTGTTCTGCTGACTTTAGTGAATGAGAGAGGCTGAGGGAGTGAGGGTAGGAAATAAGAGAAACCCTAATGGGCTTGGGCCAAAATATAAGACAACTAGATAGGCCCAACTCTCGAGATGCAGCCCTCTCTTCACGCCCACACACTGGATGTAGTTTCCATGCCACTAATCGGACGAATTTGGGACAGTCTTTATAAGTTACAGGCCCAAGTAGCTCCAATGTTCAGTCGCGATTAATCGTGATTAATCTGACGTCTTGAAAACACAGATCTAGATCTTCTTGCATGTTTAATTTATGAAGCATTAATAGTTATGCATAGTACATTTCTAAACAATCAACAACAACATGATAGCCTTTCAATCCCAAGCAAGTTGGGGTAGGCTATAGTTGAAACCCACCAAGAGCCCCTAGTCATCCAATTCAAAAGTTTTCAAGCACTCCTATTCAAACATAGATCTCTAGGTATATCCCAAGCTTTTTGCTTCTCTTTTTATTGTCTCCCCATGTCAATTTCGGTCTTGCTCTACCTTTCATATTATTAGCTTGCTTTGACTCCACAATGCACCTAGTGCCTAGGTCTCCTTTGCATGGTCAAACCACCTCAACCGATGTTGGACAAGCTTTTCTTCAATTGGTGCTTTTGATATCACGTAGTATCATCGTTCAACTGGTCCATTCTTGTGTGACCACAAATCCATCGCAGCATAGATTTCTGAAAGTAGTTTCTTGAACATGTCGAATCTTTGTAGGCCAACATTACGCTCCATACAACATAGCCGGTCTAATCGCCGCCTATAAAACTTGCCTTTTAGCTTTTGTGGTACCCTCTTGTCACAGAGAATGCCGTAAGCTCGCCACTTGATCTACCACCATTTGATTCTATGGCTAACGTCCGCATCAATATCTCCATCCCTCTCAGTAGCATCGATCCCGAGATCCGGTATCCTTAGGCACTACTTGACCTTCCAAACTCACATCTCCTCCTCCTGTGCAGCTCCCAAAGTCGTCGCATCTCATGTATTCGATTTTAGTTCTGCTCAATCTAAAACATTTAGACTCAAGGGTGCATCATCCATAACTTTAGTTTCCTATTTACTCCCGCCTGGCTTTCGTCCACTAACACTACATCATCAGTGAACAACATACATCAAGGGATATCCCCTTGTATGTTTCTGGTAACCTCATCCATTAGCAATGCATAGCTAGGTAGTAAGAAATATGTGGAGAGTGGAAGTCTCTTAAGCTACCCTTCAACATGGAGGATGTAGTTTCCATGCCAATGATTTGTTTATAAGTTACAAATTGATGTTCACTGTTTTAGCTGTGAACTTGTGATCTTTAAACATTATATGGTTCATTTATGTATTATTAATTGTTATTGCCAGTACATTTCCAATTATCACATTTACATGACATGGTTCTTTTTGCATAAACAGGAAAAGGCGTTCTCGGGCTAACAGCCAAGTATCCAATTCAAAATTAGCAGCCACAGCAGCTGATGTGTCAAAAAGGTACTGCATTCTTTTTGCTTCCTTTTTATGTTCAGCTATATGTTACTTCATGTTGCTGCTTTGAAACATTATTAGTTATGGCATCTCCCATGCTATTTTCTCATTTCACTTATTTTAAAAGTTTTGATACTGAGTACTGCAGTGCTTTTGCCAATTGGCAGCACAGCATAGATCCTAGAGTAGTTTCTGATTCTAGTGAGAGGCAGTTAACGCGTGACCCCTTCCGCCGCCCGCCGCCTGCTATTACCACCAACATTCTTCAGTGGCTGCCCGCCCACCGTGGCACTGTCCGCCCTGCACTAATCCGTTGGCTCCGTCAAGTATGTGTAAGCCTCCACCCCAACCGGGGCCTAACCACCACAGCCGGAAAGACCTCCATCGCCCGCCTACCTACCGCCTTCATTTACTACCTTGATCTAGGGTTGTTCAAAACAATCCCTAACCCACCTCCAACAGGGCGGTGTCATGCGGGGGGAGCATGGTGGTGCGCAGGAACATTTGGTTAGATTTTGGGTTCTAGTGGTGCGACCTTATCATTTGCAGCACAAATAGTAGTAAGCATTTTTTTAACTATCTTTATTCTGCATGTTGAAGGGCGGGCCTGGTGCAAGCGGTAGAGTCTTGCCGCCTATGACCGGAAGGTCCCGGGTTCGAGTCGCGGTCTCCTCGCATTGCACAAGTGAGGGTAAGGCTTGCATTAAAGGCAGAGCGGGAGCTCTCTGCACTGGGTACGCCCTTTACAATTTAGAAAGTTTCTATGAAAATTAGCAAACACTAAGCAGAGGGCCTGTTATTATTTGAACATTCTTCAGTGATTATGAAGTTTTGTCTTTATGCACAAGTATGTGTAATACACCATTTTGGGGCTAACCATGCATGAAAGACCTTTAATCGGAAGGCTTTCATTTAACCTTGATATGTAATGTTCAGAATGAATTCTTTAAATTTACATGCAGGTGCAGGAACATTTGGACATTTAACTTTATGTTGTGCTACATTTACATTGCTGATTCCACCTTATTAGACAATCAAGATATTAATGTGGTTTTTGTTTTAAAAAACGTGCAGTGCTGATGTGAACTCAAAATCTTTGTCAAAGAAGAAACGTAAAGTGAAAAACATCAAAGAACGTGACTTGTATCAGAGAAACTACACACATGCTAGCGAAGCTATTTTATCCATCCTACTGGACAAGGACAAAAGCAGCTTGACAATCCTCTCACTGAAAAAGGCTGGTCCGGAGATCATTGAACTTTTAACGCAGTGCTCAATTGGCATAGCTGGAACTGGAATGGCTATTCTTCTGTCAGTTATGTGCAAGATGGCTACTGGCATGAGGACTCCTTTTGCTTCGGCTCGACTGCTTAGCACCAGTGTGGGATTCGGACTCTTTTGGCTATCCTGGGCTGTCAATGGATTACGTGATACCATTGCTAGCATTTTCAGAAGCCCAAATAACATGAATATCGAGGATGATGAGGTCGCAGTGAAAATAGAGAAAAGCGTGAACGAAATTCTCTTCAGGGCATTGACTCTCTTGGCCATCACTGCACTGAAGTTTGCATGAGCAGTTATCATAATTTTATAGGTTTGTCGACCCACTTGTGATGTATAGTTCACCTATGTGGTTCAGGAGTGTAGTATTGCTGCAGAACTGCTTCTGTAGGACCAAGTTCCACCTGCCCAAATCATGGCTATAGTTTCTCATTGATCTTGTAGAAAATGAGCCAAGTTGTAAATTGTACAGAATTTTGCAGGAAGCTGTGTGTATATTGTGAAAATGAATTTTACTTCTCTGTGAACATTGGATAATCTAATGCCCAGAGCTTATTTATATTTTTATCTACCTAGCTGCTGCACTGTTTTTTTTTTCTTTAGTAGCTGTTTGATACCTGGTTGAATACTGATGTTGTTTTGGAACTTCAAAAAAATAATTCCATTGTACAGTATATTTGTAGGAGGAAAAAAACAGCTGCACTATTGTTTTCTCCAAGAATGGAGTCTCTTAGGCATTCACCCAGCTTTATTAGAAAGCGTATCGAACACCTTGATCTGGCACTGGGGATTCTAGTTTTACAATAGCAGTGCGGAAAAGCCTTAAACGAGCTCGACTAAAGAAGAACTCGACAAAAGAACAAGCCACCATCAACTCCTAACTCAAACAGGTGCAGCAAAAGCAACTAAAAGATACAGGAATCTCCACTAGGAGAGAAACTACATCACAGAAACCGTGTTCACCAAGATCCTGTTTATCATCTCATCCGCCATGGGCTTCAACTTCGGCTTGAGTAGAGGACACCAGGTCTTGGACAGCATCAGCATCTTGTAGATCAGCGCTACCGGCGACGTCACGATCTTCTTGTTGAATACCACATCATTGCGAGACTTCCAAATGGACCATAGCGCACCACCCCAAGCAGTCCCGCAAGAATGACCACAGGAAAATAGCCAAAGGACATTGGAAAAGTATATGATCAGATGTTTCATGTTTATCACAAACAAAACATTTCTCCGGGCCTGACCACTTCTTTTTTAACTGAACTCCGCACTGGATTCTATCATGTATGGCCATCCAGATGAATATCTTAACCTTCAATGGAATGGGACTTTGCCAGATCATCATAGCTCTAGTATCAGTGACACCTCCATAGGTTATTGCTTTGTATAGAGAACTCGTAGAGTATTTTCCTGACTTTTCCAATGCCCAGCGAACTACATCTGTACCATCTGATAGCTGAACCTCACTCAACATGTCTTGGAGATCTTGTCAGTCTTCTCTTAGGTTATCATTGAGTTGTCTCCTAAACAAGATGGACCATTGTCCTTGCTCAAAAGCTTTAGCGACCTCTATGTCAGGATTAGTTGCAATTCGAATAGGTTATGAAATCTGACTTTCAATGGACAGTCACCTAACCAGCAGTCATGCCACAGCCTTGTCTGCTGACCCGCTCTAACCTCCATTTTCCTGCCTTTTTTATACCAAAATCTCATATCCAACAAAGATCTCCAAAATTGAGAACCTTTTCTGTTTTTTATTTGAAAAATGCTCTTCTGCCCCAAGTATTTCTTCCTTAGCAAAGAGCAACATAGGCTATCATCACCCTTTTCTAACTTATCAATCCATTTTGCCAACAAGCATTTATTCATCACTCTCACATCTAAAAAACCCAGACCTCCAAATTCTTTTGGTCTGTTGAGAGCTTCCCACTAAATCATATGGTATTTCCTTTTCTTGCCCGCGCCTTGCCAGAAAAATCTAGATCTAATGGAATCAAGTAATTGGTAATTACCCTCATAGAGCTCATAAACACCCATGGTATACATGGGAATGCTGGATAAGCAAGATTCAATCAAGGTAGATTTACCTCCAGAAGACAGATGATCACATTGCCAAGTACCTAACCTCTTTTCAGCTTTATCACTCACATATCTCAATTGGGCTTTGGTAATTTTACAATGGCTCACCAGCATGCCTAGATATTTTATGGGGAATGTCCCAATCTTACATCCCAAGATTGCAGCCGTCTGTTGCTGCTCATCTATTGACAGTCCAACTGAAAATACTTCACTCTTCTCAAAGTTAATTTTCATGCCAGACATAGCTTCGTAACAAGACAAGATCAATCTGACATTTGTTAGGTTCTCAACAGAAAACTGTAGCAATAACACAGTATCATCAACATACTGCAAGTGTGTGATACCTCCATCCATTAAATGAGGAACTAGGCCCTGAATCACTGCAGCTCTACTAGCTCTAGATAACATCCCTGATAGGGCATCAGCAACCAAGTTGAAAAGTAGAGGTGACAGGGGGTCACCCTGCCTCAGACCTTTGAAGCTTCTAAAGAATTCACCTCTTTCCCCATTTAAATCAATGCAAACTGATCCATTGAATCCAAGTGTCAGAAAAACCTTTTCTGTGTAATACCTCTTCCAAGAAATTCCAGTCCACCTTATCATAGGCTTTTTCAAAGTCCAATTTCAATATAACTCCAGAATTCTTAGTGGCTTTCAACTCATGCAAAATCTCTTGTAGAATAACAACCCCCTCAAGAATATTCTGGCCAGGGATAAAAGCTGTCTGATAGGGACTAATAACCTTATCAATCACAGAAGTCAGTCTGATAGAGTCTTAGTAATTATCTTGTATATGACATTCAAGAGACATATGGGTCTAAATTATTTAACATTGACAGCCAGTTTGACTTTGGGAATTAGGATAATGACACCATAATTAAGTCTCCAGAGCTCTAACTGACCTTCAAACAATCTATCCAGCATTTCTTTGATGTCATCTAAAGCATTATAGAATTCGACTGAGAACCCATCTGGACCAGGGGCAGTGTTGTTTTTCATCTGTTTGATTGTAATGTCCAGCTCTTCAAGAGTAAAAGGTCTAGTCAAAGACTCATTATCAGCTTGTTGCATTTACTGGTTGACAGGCCATAGATCAGGGTCCAACTGCATCTGTGCCACTTCAGCTCGGCCAAAAAGTTGTTTGTAATAATCAGTTATGTGGTCTTTCAGACAATTTGGATCTATCTCCTCTTGACCATCAATTTCCAGCATAGTAACCTGCATTTTCCTCTTCCTTCCATTAGCACACTTATGGAAATAATTGGAAATGGAATCGCCTTGTAGTAACCACTTCTCACCACCTCTTCTCAGCCATTGAATTTCCTCATCAGTCAAAATGTGTTGAAGGGACATGTCTAAAATATATCTCTCTTCCCATTCAGCTAGTGATAAATCTCTACTGTCACTCCATTCATCCAGGTCAATTCTGGACATTAAATCCTGCTTAGCTCTTCTTTGATGACTATCCAAGTTTTGACCCCAACCCTTAATAGCTCTTCTAAGCTTGCCTGATAAGATGTGCCAATGATCCAAAATATCAAACTTGTATCTGATAGGCCATTTGTCTATTACCCACTCTCTGAAACCATCTTGATTCAACTAGTGGGAACTGAATCTAAAGTAGCGTAGCTGAGTTGGAACAATAACTCCAGTATCGACAATAAGCGGGTTGTGATCAAATCCCAGCCTAGGTGCAGTAAGGACTGAGGTAAGATTATATTTGTCTTCCCAGCTATTTGAAACAAGCACCCTGTCCAATACACACATGATGGGTGGAGTTTGTTTATTTGACCAAGTAAATCGACTGTCAGTCCTTTGTATTTCTCTGAGCTCAGTTACATTGATCATTTCATTGAAAGCATCCATCATATAAAGATCAACATTTCCTGAAGACTTTTCCTCAATCTTCCTTACCAAATTGAAGTCACCACCAAGCAAAATAGGTAAGTCTGAGCTCTGTACCAAGGTTTGGATTTCCTCTATGAACTCACTCTTCCTATCATCATGAGCTGGACCATAGACATTAACTAACTTCCACACAAAACCATCTAGCTTCATTGTTAGAGTACAACTCTGAAAGAATGGAGTCTCTTATTACCTAGAAACAAAGTATGAAAGAACTGTAAACATCTGAAATGCAAATAACATGATTGCTGCCCTTACAATGAGATTCGTAATGACAAATACTTGAAGCACATCAACTTTTGTCGATGTTCTATGATAACGATGTAACTTCAAGAAGCTGCACACTGGATCTATCATAAGATAGCATGTAAGGGAGAAATTTCGAAGGAGCAGCACTACTAGTAATATTAAAAACAGACAACTTTGTGTCGGCAGCTGCTGTGGCAAAGCAGTCGAAAGTCTCTGGATTTCGAACCACCGTGGCAATATAGGCGACCGGAGCCTCCGCTTTCAAATTCATCACCAGATGTTCCGTTGGTTTCCCCTTGTCTACAGTCTCGTCTTAACAACATTGAGAGTACTCGAACAAGGTGTGGCACACAAACCGGATCATAAATAATATCTGCGCCAAGACTGGCAAAAGAAAGTGTTTAGATGAAAGAGAGGAACGCATGAACAGCAGTGACAGTGACACGTTATCTTGCCCACTTTACATTTTACAAGGTATTTTTTTTTCTCTCACTAAACAGGCTACTGCAGTTCACAATGTATTCCCTGCCTCCCTCAGGAGTGGGGATACCACTACCTCTACAACACAAGATTTGTATGAGTTCACACCCACTTTCCAACAAGTACTACCCAAACAGTGAATGGACAACTAACACTATTGTCATGTCTAAACAATTATTGAATGATTAACTTAACATTATTTAATTGGAAAATGTTGAAATAGCAACATAAAGGCCACACTGAAATGTCCTTGATAAATTCTGATTGGCACACTAAGCTACTGAAATTTGTTCTGTGTGAATCACTTCACTGATCACAAATATTGGTAGAAATTCATAGCAAGCACCACTTTTGATCACAACTCTACAGATGCTTCTTCAGATTGCTCTAAACAGCTATTACTTTGTTACCATTCTTGAGTATCTTACTCAAATAAGACGTAATTTACAAGGGCTATTTGAAGCACTAGGAATCCAATTTTAGATGAACAGCATGGTTCCCGGTTCCCATGATTATGATTCTGTGTACAAGCCTACAAAGAAATATTGCAAATATATATTTCTATACTCACACTATGTCTGGCTGGTAGCCCTGTAAATCGCTTTCAGACACTTCTTCCCAAGAAAGATATTTGCACTCTACCTGCATGCCACAATGCATTATCACCAAGTTAGATCTAATAATGCATTTAACCAATGCTCACGGAGCGCCATCTGAATCAACTGTTGAATGCCAGATTATGTAATAGAGAAACCATCTGCACACAATACTTGAGTTATGCAAGGACACTAACCTACCTTATTATTGCTTTCTTTTAGCACTTTAGAATCTTCCTGCTCAATGCATAAGTTATTCAGTTCCATATTTTCCTTCATGTTTCTGAGTGTACATGGGTCACCATCAGTAAGAATAACCTGCATATTAATGAATTCTGCATGACATATATTACATTTATAATTAATCTTTTGATTCCTGAAGAAACTTGTGAACATAATTGAACTAAACAATTCATGCTTAATTACCGTTCATATTAATGAATTCCGCATGACATATATTACATTTATAATTAATCTTTGATTCCTGAAGAAACTTGTGAACATAATTGAACTGAACAATTCATGCTTAATTACTGCTCTTAGCTCCACAAAAATCATACATGATTCACTTTTTCACCCATGGCAGATATGTCATTCAAATGGAGAGTAGCATAATAGACTTGCATACCTTAGAGGCACCGACAGAATTAAGACAAATGCCCACCAAACCGACACCAGAACCTAGCTGCTTGTCATGCAAATGTTAGAGCAATAACCACAACTAACATATTCTGAGAATGTTCCTCAAGTGCAAAGAAAAACAGTAAACACAACCACCTAACTATGTGCAAAGAAAAATATCTAGATAATTTTGCACATAAACTACAAGTGTCTTCCTCAGGTAGCTGGCCAGAGATATCAAGTAGTCTATACTACTCTAAATTATGAAACGAATAAGAAATTAGTTTCATGAGGATGTATTCAAAACATGTTCACAAATACAGGATCAAATCGTGGTGCACAGAGCATATAACGACACCTATACAAATATTGATCATCCTATTTAATTCTAGTTAGCCTTATAACAAACAAAAATGGACCAAATAAATTGGCATCATTATTTGATAGAGCTTAATTATTGGACCATGAGCTAAACATATTTACATAAACTTTCTTACATGAGGTTATACTGGTAATATATCTCACACTAATAGTACAACCAATCACTTGCCTCAAAGCAACACTTTGTGGAGAAAATTTTAGGGTATGAAAGAATAAATTCAGACAAGAATAGACTTGATGGCCAAAGAGAACACCTGAAATTGTAAAATATCCACAATATCAAAATAATATATGAAAATAGTATGATAAAATATCTGACCACTGGATCTTAGAGTGTTTAATGATGTCATACCCTGTATCACCTTCAAGCATATTAGAAGAACATGATAGTCGAGCAACAACACTTACAAGCTTTGAAGAAATGTTATTATCTACATATATAAACCGGGTTGTCACTATAGATCATTATAATTCATAATATAATTATGATATATTTCTTGAAGAAAATTAAATAGTTCGAATTGACAACTTACGTGTAGAAGAGAGAAAAGATATTTCTTTATAAATATGATCTGTCTTGTTTAATAATGAATCTTTCTGCATGCAACAATAAGTTATTTATGATAGTGTCATCGATTATCAACTATTGAGATACAATATAGATAAAATCTACATACTGCTTTATACAACATACGTTGAGCAAATTCCTCATAAAGTTCATCAATCACAACATTTGAAGATAATTCAACCTCAGATATAATCTTTTTAAAAATAACTGTTGTATAAGTATAGTCTTGGCATCTCTCTACCTGCACCAATACAATGATGTGAAGATACATATTAACAGAAACTTAAATAACAACACTGTATTAGTGTTTTTCTTTCTGAAATAAATTATATATTCCTTCAATTGCAAAAACAAACATATATCTTATTTGTATTAGTTGAGTAAATTTTGTGAGACAACAACAAAATAAATCATTTACGTTTGAGCCAGTGCAAGTCTCCAAAATAATTTTTTGGACATGTGGTGTGATAGAACCTCCCCCAGCTTCTCTGCGAATAAAATAAAACCATACATAAATATGAAGCAACAAAGAGATTCTGAATATATTTCTTCTTTGAACTTGTAGCAAATTTATGCGTGGTTCATAACAGTGCCACATATTTACCCCAAATCAGGGTTTGCATCTTCCTCTCAATGAAAACAAGCTAGGGTGCACCCTGTGTGCTGTTCTGCCAATTTGGGTGTGTAATAAGTGTCGCAGCTTCGATAGTGGTTAAAACCGTTTTAAGTTCTGTTAGCGTTATTGTTTGGGTAAACTGTATGGTTTTTTTATGGTGTTACTTTGTTGCCGGTTAGGTGAACCCTTTGTGTTCATTCCATCTGGGCAGTCTCTTAGGTTGGGGAAGTTTTTGTTTTGTTTTTGCAAACTATTGTAATTTCGTTGCTCTTGAGTAATGAAATTCAGTTTGTCCGTGGTGGAAAAAATAATAATACGAGCTAGGGTATGTTTTTGAAAAAAAAATCAGAGGTTTGCATGACATTTTCATGGTTAACTAATTAGTCGCTGTAAGAGCATCTCCATCAGATATCCTATCCAATCTCCTATACTTAAAAAAGTAGTGTTTTAGGAGATGAAGGAGCTGCAGCAAATCTCCTATATCTATAATTTTTAAGAGATCTCCTAAAAGAAGCATTCTCCTAAATAAAGGAGACAACCCCCTCTCCCCCATCCCCAAAGAGATATAGGAGATAAGTTTTAGGTAATCTGCTGCAACAACACTCTCCTATATCCGAAGTTGGTTTTAGGGTACTCCCTTAAAGCAACTTATAGTTATAGGAGATGCAATATGAGAGATCTGGTGGAAATGCTCAAAGCCACTCAAAACTTGTTGCATGATCGCAGCTATGTGTTGTTGGTGGACCGATTAGGGGCCGTTTGGTAGCTGTCCTTGGAGCAATTTCTCAAACATACAAAAAACCATATATAGATTCTGAAGTGCATTTACACTGGAACCTAGGGGCTAAAAAACATGCTCCTCATTATTCCCTGTTCAATTCCCATCTGCTCTCCACCCTGCTTCTCACCAAAATCATTCCATCAGAGAATTGGAGTTAAGAATAGGGGAATATTCTACCAAACAGAAAGCATGACACTTCACCCGTACGGATAGAACCATATGATGGTCAACTATAAAGTTATTACTATCATATTTATATTATATGAACATGCCTAACATTGGAGGTCAATCACCAGCCAAACTAGCCACCAGAAATATAATTGCAAGGCCAGCAGGTCACCTAGATATCCACTTACATGCCTAACTTTGGAGGCCAATTACCAGCCAAACTAGCTATCAGCAATACACTTGCAAGGCCAGCAGGTCACCTAGATATCCACAGCTTTCCGAATCACGAATCACTCGGAAAAGGGCACGGCAGAGCGGGAGATCTCTGGGTACCGTTGCGATTTTGACTGGCAGCGAGCGGTGGCGCGTACCTGGCGAGTGCGAGCACGCAGGCGGGAGGCTCCCCAGCGAGGAACGCGAGCTTCAGGTGGAGCAGCTGCTGCTCGGTGGTGTCCTGCGCCGCCGCGTCAGCCATCGGCGACTGGGTGGGCTTCTGTTCTGCCGCCCTTTTTGAGATGTGAGCGCTCACGGAGGAAGACGCGGCGGCGGCGGTTTCCCTTCTGTCTGAGGCCGAGTTGGTGACCGTGACGGGCCTGACGGGAAACACGACCACCAAAACTTGTACGTACCGGGCCGTTATCCTACACCAATGTGACACTGGACTGGGCCGATTAGTACAGCGGTAATGCTCTAAACCGACGCGCGTCTTTGCTGGGTCTGCGGATCGGCCAACTCCCCCAGCTTCTCACTTTTACTAAAAAAAACATCTTGTCGCTTCCACCGGGACGGACCTGCCTCAAGCCTCGCGCCAGACCGCTGCACGCCCACGTGCCCCCGTCCAAGGAGCTGCTGACCCACGTTTAGTTCGCGTCAAAGACCTAGAGTTTCGAGGTTTATTAAAGAAAGCCGAAATATTCAGCAAAATCGGCTAACCAGGTTACCATCAGGATCAACCAAATGATGATGATGTTATCCCTGGGATAGAATTCAACGGGCGAGAGATGGTGGCAGAAAAGCAAGAAGACGTGTCGAACTTCATAAAAGGAAAAGATTGAGGTCCAAGTTATCGTAATTTAGAAGGTTTTGTTCTCTTTAGCAAGTTTTGTAACCGGTATTGTTCAACAAGGACTCATAGACAAGCATCGGGTATAAATATTGAACCCCGACTATTGTAATAAACATCCATACATCAATCAAACACAAGTACTTTTACCTTTTTTCGGCCCCGTGCCACTCTTAGGAGTAGGAGTAGAGTAGATCTCGACGAGTTCTTCGAGCAGGCAGGCCTGCCATCGGTTAGGTCCAACCTCCGACTTGTTTGTGAGTATCCGTCATGACTTATACTTTGTTTGTAAAGCTGCATCGGTTAGGTCTGACCTCTTGAAAGCTTTGTATAAGTTAGTTATCATCAGTTATTGTAAGGTTGCATCGACCTAGCTCGTATCTCTTACAATCACTGATACAAGTTATCCTTTGATTCATATCAAAATTTATACAGTTGCATCGGTCCAGCTCGATCTCATATAAATTTTGATACGGATTAGTTATCGATATTGTGTGAAATAGTTTACTATTCAGCATAATATCACCTGTTGCTCGATCTAGATTAAAGGTTTCTCAGTCTTTATCCTTCGATCTATCGTTTGTCGACTGTTTTTATGCTAAGATCCAACTGTTGACGTTAGATCCCGTTTATCGGCCATTTTATCTTGATCTCGATCGACCATAGTGGGTGTTTGAAGCCCTGTTTCCACTAAGGAATAGGTTCGTTAGTCATCAATCTCCGGTTTGCTGTCTTCGTTACTAACCTGTTGATAGCGTACTAGATCAGGTCTTGTTGGTTAATGGATCTACTCGTTAAGGGGGACATGACGTCATCCATTCGCTATGCTTCTATCGGCTATTTTAGCCGATAGCCTGAGTTTTCATGTGTATGGCATGCATCCATGATTCTGTTAAACATGAGTACGCTTATAGATTGCTAGGCTTGTAGTTTGTCGTTCTACTATCAATGTTGTATCGATTCGGTCGACCTATTGATAGTGCCGTAAATTGGGTTTGATCGGTTTGTAGATTTACTTATGTTTCGGCGGTTAAACGTTCGCATGCTATACGACAAAAAAACCACTTAGATCGGCCCCTTGGCCACTTGCTTATGCTTTCACGCTCATAACACGTGCTCATAATGTTAACAGTAGTTAACAACCATTATTAACCGTCAATATAACATGCATAAGGGCATAAATATAATCACCAACGAAGGTCTAGGGTTTAAACTAACAAATTCCATGAGTTTTGGTGAATCTATATTTTCTATAGGGTTTATGCAGAAAACCGTCAAGGTGGACCTAGATGTCAAACTTAATTGCGCTTATCCACAGCGAAAACAACCCCAGAAGGTTCCAAAAGACTCGAGAGGACACCACACCGAAGCAAATGGTGAGGTATCACCGGCCAGCCCCACATGCAGGCTGATCGGCCCCTAGGGCCCACATATCAGCCCCTCGTTGTTATGTCGGCCCTCCACCGCCTCCTAGATTGCATCTACGCCGTTTATTCAAGTCGGTTTGACCTGAGGGCTCAGGATTGATGCTCTGACCTATATATATCAGCCCCTGCCACCCCCTAGGCATAAGTCATTTGAGAAGATAGAAACCCTAATCATCCTCAGAGTTCCACCATATTCTAGGGCATAGCTAGTTAGGCTAGGTCTAGAGGGAGATAAGTAGGCTTCGCTTAGATTCCCGATCGTGTTAAGAGCGTGGTTTGGTATAATCTTTATACCCCCTCTCTTTTGTATCTCTCATTACTTTTATATAGGGTGTACCTAGTGCAGAGAGCTCCCACGCTGTGCGGGGTTTGAGGAAGGGTGTTAGTGGCAAGCCTTACCCTCGCCTGTGCAATGCGAGGAGACCGCGACTCGAACCCGAGACCTTCCGGTCACAGGCGGTAAGACTCTACCGCTTGCACCAGGCCCGCCCTTCATCTCTCATTACTTTTATATGTTTGCTACAATTGTTATAACATTCATCTTCACATTTATCATATTTCTAGTTATAATGTTCATCGTCTATTTTGATTATATGCTTAGTATAGTTAGATTATCATCATATTCATGCATAAGTTCGTATAGCGCTTGCTCCAAAGTACACGGGGTGAGTTGTCGACATTGTGTAAGCATGGTGCTTATACGTTGTTTACCTGACGGATACACCCTATATTCCGGGCCATGTGGTAGATCGCGAATGTGACACTCCCGTTGAATAATTTGTAGTCCACTCCCCGAATATAGGTCTACAAGTAAGATTTAGTTACGAAGGAAGACAAGCTCTATTCTTAATCTTTCTTAGTAATATCCCTTATGTGTAGATAGAAAGTTGATCTTAGCCATGATTACTAGGTGTAATTGCACTAATCAATGTATGCTTTGAATTGTAATTAAGAATGACTTAGAAATTATTTCTCTAATATTCTACTTAACCATGCTAATGCCATAGAAAGGAGTACTCTAAGTGATCAATGATCAATTATTATGCATTATTCATATATACATTTACCTCTTGACTTACCCCTATTGTGAGTAGAATTTTGGTTATGTTTTACTTCTCCATCAATAGTATAAGTTATTAATACATGTCCTTGCTAGACCTTCTCTGTGGTAAAAATATTAATAATGATACCTGCAATACTCCCAGATGAAGTGCTATAATGGTATATTATCTGTGCGCTTGTAGATCCCTTTTATTTATATATATATTTATTTATTTATTTTTTCTTCCTAGTCATATAAAATAATAAAGAGCTACTTAGTATTATTCTAATAGTAATGCTAAGTAGTACCAACAAGCATTTCTGGACATCATCACTAGGGATGACAACCTAGTAAAGTAATGTTAAGAGATGTAGACATACATTATGTGGCTACTAAAACAAGTGACAAGACTCTCCGTGAGTTCTCTGCTCCAACTATGGCCAACATCCGTACTGGACCGGCGATCAACGTCGAAGACAATGGATTCAAGCTCAAGCCAGCTCTCATCGACATGGTGCAAGCAAGCTAGTTTTGTGGGAAGGCACACGAAGATGTGAGTGCTCATCTCCAACACTTTCTAGAGATCTGCAGCACTTTCACCATCAAAGGAGTAACCAGAGACGCCATACTACTTCACCTCTTCCCATTCTCACTCTTAGTGAAGGCAAAGCAGTGGTTCTATGCCAACAAAGATAGAAATACTACATGGGATAACTGCTCCACTGTCTTCCTAGCAAAGTTCTTTCCCACAGGCAAGACCAATGCTCTACGTGGGAGAATCTCAAGTTTTTAGCAACAACATGATGAATCTATTCCTGAGGCATGGGAACGCTTTCAAGATTACATTACGGAATGTCCTCATCATGGGATGGAGAATTGGATACTCATGTAGATTTTCTATCAAGAGTTGACCAACAGTACCCGTGAAACTATGGATGCTGCTGCTGGAGCAGCTTTTCTGTCACTCACACTCCTAGCTGCAACAACTCTTGTGGAGAAGATGGCCTCCAACCAAGGTTGGAATGAAGAACGAGTTTAGACCCGCAAGAGAAGTGGAGGTATGCATCAACTCAAGGAAGTAGACATGTTGTCTGCCAAGATGAACATACTGATGAAGAAGCTCGAAGACCGAGCCAATGAGACGCAAGAAGTCATGCATATTCATGATTCCCGCATGACGTGTGAAGAGTGTGGAAACACTAGGCATTCAAGGAACAGCTGCCCTAAAATCCATGAGGATGTGAACATCGTCAACAACAACTACTTTCGTCCTTAACAGAATCAAGGATGGAATCAGCAACAGAGGCCGAACTATCAAGGTAATTATCAAGGTAACCCTTAAGGTAATAATTATAATAATTTCAATAATCAATCACCCTTGAGAGAGTTGATTTCTAACCAAGCTAAAATTATAGAGGACTTATCTAGGAAATTAGCTTCCAATGATAAGTTTTAGAAAATATGAGTAATAAAATGGATAACCTCTCCTCTGCCATTAAAAACCAACATAGCTTTAATAAAATGATAGAATCACAAATAGCTCAGATGGCGGCTTGTAAGGTCCTAATGGCTAAAGGGGGTGAATAGGCTATTAAAAATTTCTACAACAACACTTAACAAACCGGTTAGACAATTATGAAGCGAAGCAAGTGTTACGCTAGCCTACTAAAAAGCAAGCCACCTACCACAATTCTAGTTTATATTGTCTCTAACCACACAATAGCTATGGCACTACACTAAGTTAGTGTGATCTCAAAGACTAACTAAAGAGCGACACTAACCAAACTAACAAGCTCTCACAACTAGCTACACTAAAGAGCTTGATAACTAGTTTGCCTTGCCCTTGGATGATGTGGCCTTGAATGCCATGCTCTTCTTCTTCTCATCCTTCTTCTCATCTTTCTTCTCCTTCTTTTCTTCCTTCTCATCATCATCTCTATATA